ATAGCACGTAAATTGCCTCCGAAGAGACAAATCAAAGAAACCCACATTCGTCGAGAGCAAATATCGATACATGGTTTACCTGATGTCGATGTTCCACAAAAACATTTTCTGAAAAATTTGGCCGAGAAATCTCCACCTCTAGTAAATGGTAGGAATAAAAATGAATTTAAATCTCCACTTATATTTTCTGGGTCTACTTAAATATGATAGCTGAGATTTGGTTACTCATTGGTAAGTAACCAAACACGTATCTTGACTCTCGAGCCATAATAATACAAACTAAACAACCTCCAATACTACTACTATAAGAACATCCACATCAATGCAATTTCAAAATGAATTGCATATGATTTTTTTATTGCCATTTTAAATTCTATGCAATCCAACTCGATTTTATTTCATTACACCTACATCAATGCAATTCACTTGCAATTGCATATATGAGAATTTAAGTGATTTTATAATAAAAAGATGAACAAATCAAGAGAGAAAAAATAAATTATTGTGTTTTTTATTTTACTATGTGGCTTGCATCTTCAATTTCATTTAATGCAAGCTTGCATCTTTGCAAGTACCTGCCGCATTAGTGCAATTGCAAATTGAGTGTCATATAGGATTTGGAATTGAGCAAATACCATTGATGTGAATGCTCCAAGCACTCATAGGCAACACAGCTGTTCCCTCCTTTTGCCTTGCCCACCTCCTTTTTTTTTTCTTTCTTTACGGTGACTGATAAACATAGATTTTGGATTCTGAGGTTGTGACTAATTTTTTGTTAGAGCGATCGTATGAAGTGACAAATGATTGGTTGAAGAGTGAATTTTATTTTCATGAATTTAAGAAGTATCTCAGTAGGAACTTCAAGATCAAAGATCTAGGAAAGGTGAAATACTTTCTAGGTCTTGAAATTGCCAAAAACAATGATGGTATTACAGTGAGTCAACGAAAGTATTATTTGGAGCTACTTAAGGATTTTGATACCAGGATGCAAAGCCATGTATTTCACCATTGGATCCAAAGGTTTCACTGAGGGACAAACAAGGAATTCCACTGAAAGACCCTGAGCAATACAGAAGGCTCATTGGCAGGTTACATTACCTTACACCTATTAGGCCTGACCTGACCTGACCTTTCCTATGTAGAAGCTCAGTCAATTTTAGAAGGATCCATACACAAAACATTTGCAAGCAGCTTTTAGAGTTCCGAGATACATTAAAGGTCACCAAATCAAGGGATTTATTTCAAGTGTGATTCCTCATTAAAGCTGTTAGGGTATACTGATTCTGATTGGGCCAGTTGTGCAGATTCTATGAGCTCAGTTAGTGGTTATTGCACTTTTCTTAGAAGCTCTTTTGTTACCTACAAAGCCAAGAAACAAACCACAGTTTCTCGATCTTCCTCAGAAGCTTAATACAACGCTTTAGCTCAGTTGGTGTGTGAATTACAATGGATGAAAGGTTTGCTTGCAGAGTTAAGTATGGATGTGCAATTACCTATTACAGTCTTCTGTGATAACAGATCAGCGATACACATCACTAAGAATCCAGTATTTCACGAAAGAATGAAGCACATTGAGATTGATATTCATGTGACTCGTGAAAGGGTGAAGTCTTGTTTGATTAAATTGCTTAATATACGAACCATTGATCATGTTGTCGGCTTATTTACTAAGGCATTGAGTTAGCACACTCCAACTTGAGGGAGGCTGTCAAACTACTAAAGAAGACGAAGCAGGAGCTCATTAAGGCGAAGCAGTTGATGCGGAGCTGAATTGAACATATCGACCTGCAACTTGGAGAAAGACACCAACGAAACGTGTTTCGGACTTGAATACGATTTGTTGTATGGGAAGTGTTTCGAGCCTTCGTCTAGAACACGTCGTTTTATAATTTATTAGCTTTGTAATAAATAAATGAAGTTAGTTTTTTTCTGCTAGTTTTACATTGCCACGAGTTGTGGTAATATTTTCTTTACCTTTGAAACAGTAAAATCGGAAGAGTATAAAACAGAGCAAAACCCGAGTTTTTGCTCTTTGCGGGTTTTCGTCAAAAAAAATCCTTTGCCTTCTCAATATTTTCTACACTAGTGTCTTGGGCTTTCTGAAAGTTATTAAAGAATATCTCCGCTCGGGTAAGCACTTCCCCTTCCTTCAGCTTCACATTATTGGGAGGTGGTTTTGTGCTCCCTCTAGATGAACTAGAGAGCTTTCACTAAGTCCGCCATCTTTCCGGTTGTATTCCCTTTGCGACCTTAGACCACCAAACACCACAAGATTTATCTCGTTCGAGAGCCGCAATATATGAGAAAGAGCCATATCTCCATGTTCAATTCACCCACGCTCATTGAAAAAAGATATGTTTTGCGATTCATGTAATCCACAGAGTGAAGCATCCTGTGTATGAGTCGGAAGTCTAATTGCTAGGTAACCTGTTGAGAGAATATTGTTGCACCATCTCCATAGAAAGTTCTTAACTTTTGGTGGAATAGAGAGGGACCAGATTACTCTTCAATCATGTATGCTTGTAGATTGTTTTGGTAGGCGTAGTATGCTGATTTGACATAATATCTTCCATTTTTCCACAACACTCTGAAATCCCCACCAAGCCATAAGTGGTAATGTGATGGCCGATGCTTTCTCTGTTTGGTAGGAAATGTGTTTGTACGTAGCAGCTAATCCCTACAAGTCACTGTCTGATGGTCGATGAGGCTAGCTATAGTGTAGCCTCTTCTCCAAGATCCGTAAATGGGGATTTGATTTGGTGTCTGTATTGGGTTGGGTAGCGATTTCTCCCCCAATATGTGTACCTTGTCTCATTTTCCAATCACCTACCTCAATCTATTCTTCAATAACTCTTGAGCCATCATTAAACTTCTCCAAATATAGCTGGGGTTGTAGCCAACCTTTGCTTCTAGAATGTCTGTTGGAGGAAAATTGCATCGAGATTTTCACGTAAATTTTCATCGATATTTTGTAGCCATCCTTTGTTTCTAGAATACATGTAAGTGAATAGAGAAATTGTTGTTTGAAATGAAAAATAAAGGGTGCAAATAAGTTAAAAAATAAAAATATAAAATTTATAAGATTATCATAAAATATTCACGGATAATTATATATAGAATAATAAAAATCCTTAGATAATATTTAAAAATATTAGTTATGCTCAATTTTAAAAGGTTTAACTAATTTTTTTGGTCAGATAAAAATCATCGATGGTCGAGCAACCTCGAGGATAATGAGCAGGCTCGAAATCAAACTATTGACCAAAACAAATAGCTAGTTTATGTCACCGACTCGCACATTAATTTATTGACATGCTTGTTACATAGAATGAAATCGACATATTAAATTAGAATTGACCACAACTAGTCATCCTACCAAGTTATCGTGCCCAGTTTAGTTCTAAATTTGATTTTGTCAAACATGTTTGAACCTTCAATTTTAAGTATTTGACCAAGTGATCCGAGTCAACCAAAAACTTCTTACTCAACTTTCCCATGACACTTTCTCTATATAGTTTTCAACGCAAATTTGAATCAACCAAGAGATCTCGATTAAACCAGATGATACTAATAATAATAAGCAATGATTATGTAACATTTTTTTAATGAAATGACTATATAAATTTTTTTATTAAAAATAATTATTTACACAAAATTATAATAATTTTCATACTAATTTCATCTCTCACCTCTTCCTCCCTTTCTTTCTCTTTCTTTCTTTGCACTCCACTACAATAGTGGATCTACTCTCCTTCTTACTATGAAAAAAATATTCAATTCATTCGTGCAGAGCTAGCATAATCTGTGCAGAGTTGGCTAGGATTTATACATGCTTGGTTGGAAATTGGGGAGTTAGGAAGATTCTTCTACAAATAGATTCATCCATAGGCAGGAGCCTCGTTGAGGCTACTAACCACGTCATCCTAATCCTGGACTCATAGTCGAATTCAATCACCATCTAACTGTACCTTGCCAGATCACTATTGAACGTGTGTATAAAAAAGTATATTTCGCTCTTCATTACTTAACGTCTGTTGCATTCTCTTTCCGTGAGCGTTTATGTGATTACGACATCAAACAATTCATTATTGTATTGCTTGTACTGCGATTGGATTGAAGTTTATACCCCATATTTTTTTGGGTTAATATTTTTGTATGGCCTGAACTTTGACCAAAATAAATATAATGGCCAATCTTTTCGATCTATAACATCCTGGCTCGAACTATACACCAAAATAAACAATTTGGCCAGATCCGACTTTTGACCGTTAACTTGGACGGTCAAACACGTTGACCGTTAGTCAACGCGCCATGTCACTGCCAAGTCAGCATAAAATATATAAAATAATTCACAATTTCCACACATTCTCTAATTTTAAATTATTATAAATTAAAAAAATCATCTAATACCTTAGTTAAACCAAAAATAAAAAATGAAAATTTTTAAATATTTATCAGATCTCCTGACTTGGCAGTGACGTGGCACGTTGACCGTTAGTCAACGCGTTTGACCGTCAAAGTTAACGGTCAAACATCGGGTTTGGCCAAATTGTTTATTTTGGTGTATAGTTCGGGCCATGATGTTATAGATCGAAAAGATTGGCCAAGATGTTTATTTTGGTCAAAGTTCAGGCCATACGAAAATATTAACCCTATTTTTTTTTAAGATTATACCCAGTTAGTGAATAGCTGAATTTTATTCCGATAGTAAAACTGTTGCTAAATTCTTAACCAAAAGTGAAAAAGGACCACAAGGAAGGGGAAAGAAAAACCAAAAAGTGTTAAATCTTAATCCTACCCAATATTGGGCCTCATAACATATGTATAATATTTTGGGCCTAGCCTAAATTAACTTTTACCAAAATGCAAAAAGGCCCAATTGACGGTGATAATTTTGGCTGCATGACTTGGTGCGAGATCATCAAATCATCCAGTAATCCCCCTTTCCCGCCATTATCGCCAAAACCCCACTTCCGTTTCAGTTCCTTTGAAAATAGCGCACTCGTTCTCGTCTTACCCGTTAGGGCTTTGACGTCCGACGAGCAAGATCGTGGTCACGACGATGGAGGACTCCGAGCGTTTCCCCGGTCCGGTGGGTACTCCCACACCATCCGGGGCGGGGACTATCAAGAGGATCCGATTGGAGAACTTCATGTGCCACAGTAATCTACAGATTGAGCTCGGCCCGCGGGTCAATTTCATCACCGGCCAGAATGGGAGTACGTCTCTTTTTACCCCCTTTGTCTCGTTGGCGCCTCTTTGTATGTACACTCGTGTTTCGAATCACTAGCATCATTGCTATTAGGGTTTCCGTTTTCGTTATGTGTTGTAGTTAGTTCAATGACTTAGTGAAACGAAATTCGAGGCCAATACTTAGCAATGAATTTTTGTACGGTGATTGAGAAATGATGTCTCCAAGACTCCAACTGGAATTGTCTTTGCGTTATATCCTTCTCAGGGAAGAATGATCTGTTTGGACCGAGTTAATTCTTTGGGGATTTTGGGAGTTTTCAGGTGGTAAAAGTGCAATACTTACTGCAATTTGCGTAGCCTTTGGAAGCAGAGCTAAGGGGACGCAGAGGGCGGCCACGCTGAAGGATTTCATAAAAAATGGTTGCAGGTTTGAGCTTCTATCCTGTTAAAACAGTATCTCCTATCGCAGTTCCAGGAGTGATGTCTGAGATTGTTTCCTTTCCAGTCATGCTGCTGTTGAAGTGGAAATAAAAAATGAAGGACATGATGCATTTAAGCATGATATTTATGGCGATGCTATAATTTTAGAGCGTCGAATCAATCAGTCCGGTGGCTCCATGACTCTAAAGGATCACCGAGGTCTGTGCTCTTTTACTAAATTTATATTTGGTTAATTTTTGTCCCGATCAAGGCTTGAATCTAGGTGCACTAGATATTTTGGCAAGCATTACTGCAACTATTAGGTCTGGACCTCAGGTTACTTAAAAATGAAAAACTGAAAGTGTCCTTTTACCTTCTTCAACAAGCTCTGGGATGATTAGTCTTCAATGAGTTGCGTTACTATTATTGGTTATTGCTGGGCTTTCCCTAGATGTCTAAAATAGATCACTTCAAATGCTGAATCACAGCATAAGCTGGCCTAGTTTGAGCAATTGGCTCACAACTCACAAGAGCCATATATCATGAGGATGATTGCATCAGTGAGTGTCTTAATCCACCATCTTATTCAAGACATAAGAAGCAAAGAGCTACAGAAGTGTTAGATATATCATATATGTGAATACGAAAAATGAAATATCACTTCTGCCCCACTACGGCCAGTTTGATTTGATGCTTTATGTGGTAATTATCATTCTCCATACTGAACTAGTTTGTCATAGGTGACTAATGATTTATGAAATCATCGGTTTGCGTTTGTATGCATTGGCATCCTTGAGATGGGATGATCTCTCCCATAAGGAAGTCACATCATCCATTAATGGTCTGAAGTGTTGAATTTTAGTGAAAAGATATAACTGTACAATAATGCATTTGGATTGTCTTTTTTTTTTTTTTTTTCTAAAGATGTGCATTAGGATTGTCTATTCATCAATTTCAAATTTAGTTCACCCTAAAATCGTAAGTACTGAAGTCAATAAGCACAGGAATTTTAACACAGTCCTATGCAATTTGATTTTTTTTGTCACCTAAGAAGATGTTCGATTCAACCAGAACAATGAACTTGTACCAGGCAACTAGTTTTAGATCCATGCCTGCTTTGTGGGATTTGTTTCTGCTTACTGAGGATTGACTTAAAAACTTATGAGGAACTTCACTTTTGTCTTTTGCCAGATGAGAGAATTCAGTACTAACTTTTTTTGTTTTGTCTCTGGGATATATGATAGGAAGAAAAGTTGCAGGTCGGAAAAATGATATTCAGGAGCTCATTGATCATTTTAATGTGAGTTTTCTGAACACTGCATTTGCGTCGTTTTCTTCAGCGCATTCTTTCAACTCATGGTGCTGTATTAATTGCTGTTAAAATGTCAATCAACTGAAAAGGAACTATTAACATGATAATTACTTCCTACTCTTCGTTTTATTTTGCCAAAAGTAACAATGACTGCTACAGTGTCTATTGTTAATGTCTGTACTCTAGTCTCTATTTGACTGCTAAGATGGTGGTTCCTATTCTTCATATTCTTGCGTAAGTGTCTAATCTAAGGAATTGTGTCGGGCATGGTGCAGATTGATGTGGAGAATCCTTGTGTAGTGATGAGTCAAGACAAAAGTAGGGAGTTCCTGCATTCTGGGAACAAGAAAGACAAATTCAAGGTGATTCTGTTTGCTATTCTCCTTTAATTTGGTATTCTTTGCTGGTCTGATATGGTCAGAGCAGTATCTATAGTGCTCCATGGTCACTCTTTTTTCTTCAGTTTTTCTTCAAGGCTACTCTTCTTCAGCAAGTTAATGATACCTTGCAAAGGAACACGGAAGGACTGAAGTCAGTAAGTGCCGCTGTTGATGAAGACGAGGCTTCTATTAAACCAGTAGAGAAAGAACTTAAAGACTTGCAGAGAAAAATTGGTAACATGGAGTATTTGGAAGAAATATCTCAGGAGATAGAGGTTTTGACGAAGAAGCTAGCATGGGCATGGGTTTATGATGTAGACAAGGAAAAACAGGAGCACATTGTGATGATGGACACACTTAAACAACGTGTTCCTGCTTGCCAAAGAAAGATAGATGAACAACTAGTGAGTGATTGAAGGGATTGGCATTATTATATAATCATATGTTTTATTTGTCATTTTCTATTAACCAAAACTGGTATGAGCTTTTTCTTTTCAGTTATTTCATTATAATGTCTGTTACTTTTATCTGGATGTGTTGGCTGGAGTATTGTGAAACCACCAACAGTAAGATCTTCTGAGCTTGTTCCTTTGTTTGATTCAAAGGCTAAGATGGAATCCCTCAAGGAAAAATCATCAAAGAAGAAGGGTCAAATTGATTGCCTGATTGTCAAAGCATTGGAAGTGAAGAGTAAGCAGAAGGAATTCGAGGAGTCTATTTCTATGGTAGTTTTCATTCCCTATTAGTATAAAAGTACTAAATGGAATTGGTAATCTTAGAATTCGAAATTCCTGGGCGGTGCAATGCGCATATCCCTTTAGAGGTGTGAAAAAGTTTGACATACAAAATTTGGTATATTCCTATTTGAAAGATAGGTATAGACAAAACAAGGTGGTTTTGGATCCTAAGTGCATCCCTTGCTTTCAGGCATGTACACGAAAGTCCAATCTTTTATGCCTTTTCAGGTGGTTTACTGTTATCTGTGAAAATTTCACATGCTCTGATTCTGTATCTGAAGTTGATTTTGTCTGTTCATGAGGTTTTCTGGCTAGGTTGTTGTTGTATGTTCAATAACTCCACATCCACTGATTTGTATGTGAAATTGATTAATTAGGCCAGAAAGGAGAAGATTGAGTTAGAAGAAAAGCATAAGCGTGCTACTAATCAGATTGACGACAAGGAGAAACAAGTATCAAAACTTAAGCGGCAAATTGAGGAAATTAAAGAGCAGCATCTTAGAAACACACAGGTTTTGTTATCTAACCTATATTGCGTTTTCTTTCTTCCCTTCGTGCGCATCTTTGATTGTTCATTTCTGTGTCTAGTGTTTTGTTTATGGATATGAGAAACATAGGGAAGGTTCTCTGTAGTTATCCCCATTTCCCTTTGTTTTAATGTTGAAGTTTCTTGTCACGTGTAATTTGTCCTAGTGCTATAAGTCGTGTTCTATAGGTCACTAACCAACTGTGCAATCTGCCAATTGCACGAACTGAGGCATATGGTTTCTTTTATTCATGCCTCTTTGGTGAAGGACATATGTCATTCACTTCTTATTATTTTGTATGCTTTAACCTTGGACTTGGCCCTTGACTTTCCTGAGATGTTACAAAAATTGTGATGCTACGCATGATCTTCTTGTCATCTAGTTTGCTTCCAAGGCTAAATACAGTTAGACGTTATGGCTTTCTGGTAATTGTTGTTCACTTCTGAAATTGACCTTGTACTGCAGGCTGAAAAATCTGAAACAGAGGAAAAGATCAGAGAACTTAAACGCACAATAGATGCTGCAACCGACTCACTCTCAAGGTGATCCATTTCATATTCCCTTATGTTATCATCTATCTTTTCACCTCTGCATCAAGATTTATTTGTCCAACCTGCAACCCTGATAATCTAGGTTAGAGAATGAGGAATTTGGCTCAACAGATTACAGGGATAAGATAGAAGGTGAAACTGATGAGATTGCTAAACAGGTACAAACTTCTGCAATTATATAACTGGACCATAACATAATGTTGCTTAAGTGTACTGCCTTGTTTTCCTTCACATTGCTTTCTAGTTAAACCCTAAGAAAATGCATTTTTTGAAGGTTATACATTAAAATATAGAGGGACTTAGTCTGTGAGCAGAAGAGATGTAACTCTGTTCGTGCTTGACTGGCCTAGGCTTCTAATCTATTGCTGGGTTGTTTTTTTATTAGTTAGTAAAGAGCTCTTCCTTTATTGCTTATACATGGACGGATCTCTTGAACTGGCAGTTGGCTTCACCAGAGAACTTCTTGAGCCGTATATTTATTTTTCCTGTAACTAACTAGTTGAGTTATTTCTTTGCAGATTTCAGATAACGAGAGAAAACAAAATGTTCATCGGTCAGCCATTATAGAGCTTCAAAATAACAGAAGAAACAAGGTATCATGGATCATTATGGTCTTAGTGATCTAACTTGCTTAACAGTTATGTTTAGCAATCTCATCAGTTTCACCTTCTATCTTATGGTTTCTGGCTCCTGATGGGTTTCTGATCCTATGCAATCTCATGTTCCTGTTTGAGCTAAATCCTTGTCTTTTTATCTTACCTTATGCTGTAGGTTAAACATACCTCCTCATTTGCTTCCCGGTACAAATCACCCAACTGTTCTATCGGTTATACATTCCAGCTATGATACAGTGCTGAATGTGCTGATAGATATGGTAATAAGTGATTTCATAATGTTTAAATACATTAGCTAGCTTCCAGAAGGCCATGTGTTTGCTGAATGCTTAACTATTTTGTTGTTCTCCAGGGAAATGCAGAAAGGCAAGTCCTTGTCAAGGACTATGACACCGCCAAGGCAGTTGCTTTTGATCAAAGAATGTCAAATGTGCATGAGGTTTACACGTCAGATGGATATAGAATGTGAGTGTGTATATATACATCTTTTTTTGTGTGTATAACAAATGTGTCCACAGCAGTCACTTCTTCATTCCCCTTGTCATGGGTAGTCACTCTAGGCGGTAAACAGCTCCCACCGCATGTATCCTATTTGATATTTTATATTGGAATCATCAATTCTTAACAATAACGTGGCGAGTTACTTAATAGGGCCTAATGGAGGTGATTAAAACAAAAAAAAATGCTAACCCACATGGATGAGTTTTCATTTTCGTGAAACCGACTTGGATAAGTAATATGGGTAACTTGTTACGATTTCGTATTACCTTGATTTGGAAGCCAACAGCTGTGTTTCCTTTATCTCATTTTGTACTTAATCTAAAAATATCAAACATATTTCCAATCTGATTCTTAAAATACAGAAAAAACAGCTATAACTGTTGTAAATCATGATTTCTCTTGGCTCATTACCTTTTGACACCCAATGGTAGTTGAAGTAATAAGCATGATCGGTTCCGTTTGAGTTTCATGTGCCTTTGTTTCCTTGAATAATAAAAAAAAAAATAACGGGGAAGCTTTTGGTTTAAGTTGAAGGAACGGTTTAATTTCATTTTTACTTTTGGAAAGACCTATGTTATTTGATAACTGAAATATAAAGTAGAAAGTGAAGTAGGCAAAAAAAGTTACGGGAAACAGAAGCAGAGTTTTCTAAGTGGTTTGGGTATCACATCTGGAGCAAATTCCTTATTATACAATCCCGTTGTGATTATGGAGCATGTTACTGTCAATGTTTGTTTGCATGCTTGTGACGAGAGTTTTTTGCCAGGTTCTGTCGTGAGTCAGTGCAGACAGTGCTTCCCCCAAATCAGTGGCTTAGTAAGCGTCTATGTGCTTCATTTGATGATCAAATCATTGATCATGAGCAACAGGTCCAGGTTCTTGCTAAAGAAGCTGAAGATCTACGACAGAGGAAGCGGGATTCTGAGGGAAGTCTACATAGTCTTGGAGAAACACTGCGGTCAGCGAAGGTGATAACTGTCATCTATCATTTGCTTAAGAGCTTCCTAATCATCCTGTAGTCCATTTCTGCGCCTTTAACTGAAGAATGGTAGGCACACTTCAGCTCAATGTTTGCACGTGCTGAACCTTAGCATGGTTATGTAGATTCATACTTTGAACTTGACCATTTCGGTAGACACAGCCTGGCTATTTTGTATGTCATACTGTCGATAAACCTGTCTTATTCCACTAGGATCTTGCTATTCCACATGTGCTTCATTTTGTATGTCATGCATGTGGAGCGTAGTTCTGTTTTAGCCCACATAATCTTGCATTGCCTTTCAGCATCTTCTTTACTTTAGCTGGAAGCTGCCTTTGTTTGTGCTTCTGTACGTGAAATTCTTTGCTGTTCCTTTTAACTAATTGTAGAAGAAACGCTGGGACGCTGAGCGGGAGGTGGCATCTATGAAACTCGAGCTGGAGGATTTGGAGCGATCAACTGACAGTGCTAGTATGTCGCTGCCAACATCAACTTTGGATGAGCTTCATGAAGAAATTTCTGTTTGTTCCAACTTCTATTTCTCTTTTTGATGCTTTACTGCAGACTTCCTTATTTCCGTGTCGTTTTTACTGGGATTCCTTCTCTAACCTAACCACATCTTGTTTCCATGACTTGCGCAGAAGATAGAAGAAGAGATAAAGCACAAACAGACTACTGTAGAAAAGCTTCAGTTTGAAATTGGAAAAGCTGAAGCAAAATTTAAGGCTCTGAAGATGTCCTTTCAGAGTTGATGTGGTATGACTAGTGTTGGTGGATTTCTCTTTTAGGAAAAAAGATCACCTTAGGATTAGTTTCTCTTAGGCTTAATTGTAAAACTGTAGATTCAGCAAAAGAAGATTTCAAGACCCTGGATGATGCTGAGATTGAGCTGACGAAGATTGAGACCGATCTGAAGACTGCTGAGATGGTATTTTTCCTCTTGAGTTCTGTTTATTTCTTGATCCACCACTTTCTTTCTTTTTGTTTTTTATTCTGCAGATAATGCTGCTGGCCCTTTTGGTTTGGTTGTCGATTGGTTGAATGTTTCTATTCATCCATTACCACTAGCCTAACCCCTTGGGGTTGCTTGATTCACCACTTCCAAACTGATACTTACTATTATCTAACTAAAATAGCATATTGTCATGTCAGCAAAAAGAGCATTACGAGAGTGTAATGGCGACTAAAGTCATTGTCAAGATTGAAAATGCCGAGGCAAAGCATAGGGAGCTTGAAGATGAGCGACAGGTAAACTTTCAAGTGTCATTACCGTATCAAATTGAGACTGTCGTAACTTGCCTTTTCTTTCTCAACAGCCTTCGCAACATGCTTGCTCTTATATTCTTGGTGCTCAATGCCATAATTTTCTTTTTGCTTGATTCTCAAATTGGTGCTTGGGTTAAACTAAATATGGGAAGGTTCCATGAACAGTGAGCTAACAGTATCATAGATTGTTAGGGTTTTTGCTCGCTGGTACAAATGGGGTTAATGGGTCTGGAAAAATAAGAAGTTAGTTCAGCATGGTTCCACTGACTCGTGCTAACATATCCAACTTCTGTGCCCTGCCATGCTTCTGTGACAATAGTTGGTGTTCTCTGGAATTTGATCTGAAATACATGTACATGGAAAGAATTGCTCACAGCACTGGCAATTCTTAGATCATAATCTTCATACTGAAAGCTGAGGACTATAATGTTGTGCTGAGAAGGTGGTGTGTTCCTCTCTATCTTCTTTGGTGGATGCAGCAGCTATTAAAAGTTTAATCTGAAGCAACTGTTTTATCATCTGTAGGGCTTACTTTTAGTGTTTGATTACAGGAAAGATACAGGAAGGCTTCCATCATTTGTCCAGAGAGTCATCTTGAAAATTTAGGAGGAGCATCAGATGGACTAGATAGCAGCAGTCCAGAGCAACTCAGTGCCCATTTAAGTATACGGAAAGATAGGCTTCACAAGGAGAGTCAGCAGTATGTCCTGATATGCTGAACATTATATATTCCTTTAGTGATTTAAATGAAAAGGTCTTACACTTACATTGGCAGGTTTTCAGAATCTATTGATGATCTGAGAATGATGTACGAGGAAAAAGAAAATAAAATTCAAAAGAGAAGACAATGGTGTAAAACATTAAGAGAAAAATTGGAGGTATGCTATATATCTCAATTGTTTTAGGGTTAATATATTTGTATGGCCTGAAGTTTTCACAAATTAAACATCCTGACCAATTTTTTCGATCTATAATTTCGTGGCCTCAACTATGCATCAAAGTTACTAAATTGGTCAAATCCGAGATTTGAACGTTATTTTGGACAGTCAAATGCATTGACTAACGGTCAACGCGCCACGCTGCCACGTCACTGCCCAATCAACATAAAAAATTATTAAATTCCACATATGATCAAATATTTGGATTATTACATTTTAATTGAGGCCACGTTGCATTAGAGACATTGTTTATTTTGGTTGACCATTACTCCATTAGTCAACAGTTTTGACCGTCCAACATAACGGTCAAATCTTGGGTTTGGCCATTTAGTAACTTTGATGATTAGTTGAGGCCACAATATTATAGATCGAAAAAGATTGACCAAAATGTTTAATTTGTGAAAAGTTCAAACCATACAAATATATTAACCCTTTGGTTTATTTACATGAATATATATTCCCTTAACCTCTTTGTCTACGTCACTGTTCTTCGTGTTGGTTTTACTTATAATTTTCTACTCCATTCTATTTGCAGGTCTGCGTGAAAGCATTAGAGTTGCGGTGGAAGAAGTTCGAGAGCAATAAGAACAGCGCAAGGCGTGATTTAACTTGGAAGTATGATTTTCCACTTGCTTAGTGCCGATTGTCTAGCATCTTCTCTGAACTTATGACGAATTTTATCTTATTTACCTTTGTACTTTCAGTTTCAATGATCATCTGGGAAAGAAAGGAGTAAGTGGGAACATCAAAATTGACTACGAGGAAAAAATTCTGGGAGTGGAGGTCAGCACTTGTTTCCGTAAAACTCTGCACATGTACACAACTTGTAGACTAACTGATGGGTTTTCCTGCCTTTTTTCATTTGTCTATGATGCTGAACTCTGCTGCTTTAATGTTTTTTATTTGTGTGTGTGTGTGTGTATGGTTAAGGTGAAAATGCCACAAGATGCATCAAATAGCTCAGTTCGCGACACAAGAGGGCTTTCAGGTTCTCTCTATACTAGTTTGTTTCCTGCATGTGATGCACAGTTTTAGCATATAACTGGTTTTGCAAATTCAACCCTGGGATCTTCTTGTATTAGTGCTGCTGGGCAAACCTGGGATAGGCAGGCTTGTACCATTTGTCTTCTGACATTGAATTAACATAACATTAAAACTATAGATCAGAATGTACCAACGCAGCAAGAGTGACTCCTAAAGCTTCTTTACTCACTGTTGTTGGTGCTATATAATTAGGTGGTGAGCGCTCCTTCTCAACTCTATGCTTTGCACTATCACTTCATCAGATGATAGAGTGTCCATTCCGAGCGATGGATGAGTTTGATGTATTTATGGTAAAAAGCGAAACTTGACCTTGGCATGTACGCTTTCAGTACTGGGGGATCACATTTTCATGCATACATCAGTATTATGGTTGAGATAAATTGATGCTCTGTCTGTATTCAGGATGCGGTGAGTCGCAAAATCAGCTTGGACACACTGGTGGATTTCGCGCTAAGTCACAAAGCTCAGTGGATATTTATTACTCCTCACGATATCAGGTGAACAAGAAATGTTTGTTCTAGCTCGAGAAAGTTTTGATCTTGATTGATCATCTCCCTGAAATGTTTGTGCTTGATCTGGTGTTTGTTTGAATAATGTATGACAGCATGGTGAGACAAGACGAGAATATAAAGGAAGCAGCAAATGGCAGCGCCTCGATCTTAGGCATTCAACGATGCAAGTTCACTGGTTCGATCTTATTGTTTGATGAACAGCTTCTGGAAAATTTCTTTTGATTTTTGTACATAGTATCAAGGGTCAAAATCTGTGTTGACTCTTCTTCTCAATTGCATGCATGCATATCCCACCACCATGCATGCCATTACAATTAGGGTTTTGGGGGTTTCTTCGGTTGAAATTAATTTATGCCGTTGGGCCTGCTTCTCCAAACAAAGCAGAAAATTGAGTTCCCTGCCGTATTTTTTTTTTCATTTTTCTTTTTTGCATGGGCAATCAAAAAATTATGTTGAGTCCCACTTTTCTCTGTTATATAGATCTGTCAATACAACCCGACCCGAAACCGCCCGGAAACTAGAAATTTTTGTAACCCGAAATCCGAATGATCCGAACTCGATAATCCGTGATTTTTTGGGTCGGGTTGGGTGGGTTAGCGGGTCGGCCCATTAGACTCGTTCCATTTCATATACCACTCTCAAAATATGATAAAATCATTCATAAATTGGTGAGATCTTTAAAAAAATCACAAGGATTTGTGACATGTTTGGAGTTTAAGGACAATCAAATATCATGTGTTTCTTATAGTAGTATTACTCTTGTGATTGTTTTTTGAAGATTTGCGCAATTTGTATTTGATTTCATTAGCGTGGGAGGATTTGAGAATACGTTAATTGACGTGTGTTAGGTAAACTATTGTCATGCATATGTGAAAATTTGTGTTCTTTAAGAAAATATGAAGCATGTTTGATATTGTTTCTGAGAACGCTCGTAACTCGAAATGACCTGTAACCCTACCCGAAACCGAATGGGTTGGGTCAATATTTGATTCGAAATCAGTGAACCAAACATGACCCGACCTGTAACCGAAATTCCCAACCTAAACTTACCCAACCCGACCCAATTGTCAGGTCTTAATTGTTACATTAAACTGCCATTTTCTAGTAACATATAGAATTTACTATACTCTAAAAGACACTGTCAACTTTACAACTTTCTAGAACTTATAAAAGTAAACAAACTTTTTTTTTTGCCAATTGATCACTCTTAAAAAGAGGAAAACCAACGATCCCAGATTACAAAGAACCTATCAAATATTGAACCATGAAACGTAGTCGAACCCCCTATGATAACGAGGTGACAACAACAGAGCATGACGAGCCACCGAATGAACCACTCTGTTCCTAGTACGACCCACAAAATGAACTTGAGATCCCAGAGAATCTTCCAAAAGTGAACAAATTTCTTGAAGAATCTTCCAAAAGTGAACAAATTTCTTGAAGAATTGTCCCTGCCCTTGCATCCGACACATCATGCTGCCGACATTTGCCTATCAACACTTTTGCATCACCGCCAATATTAATGGAATTAAGATGTCGCCGACGGCATTCAATTAGACAATCGCGGAGTGTCAGGGCTTCAACGGTGAAAGGATCCCAAATCCCAGAATAATGGTTGAGTGATGCTGAAAGGAGACTGCATGAGTCATCCAATAGAACAGACGCCGCAACACCACTCGACCCCACTTTAATTGTAGCATCAAACTTCGTCGAACAATGAATGGATGAACCTGCAGGAAAGTGAAAACTATTGGGAAGAGGAGACTGTCCACTGGGTTGGAGTAAAGCCTTGTCCGCTTCATCAACTTGGTGACGCCACTGAGATCCTAAGGTGGGAAGCAGGACCTGTTTATGTTCAAAATGCACCGAGCAGCGATTCTTCCATAGACGCCAAAGAAGACACACAACCTGCAGAACAAGATAATCTGAATCCGTACCGTCAATGGAAAACAGAGAGTACCTGACAAATCCATAAAAAGATCTAGTCTCCCAATGGCGAAGAAGATGGCCCAAACCAACCATACGCCAAAGAAGCAGTCCCCCTGGCCGAAATAGAGAGGAACTCTGAACTGAAAGAATACCGCGCACGATAGAATCTAGCAAGTAGAGAATAGGGTTCTTGAAGGATTTGCCAAGCAACTTTAGCAAGAAGAGCTTGATTAAAACACCCAAACTCTCAGAATTCAAGGCCCCCCTTCAAATTTACTAGCACATAATCCTCGTCAAGCACGCCAATGAATGCGTCGATGAGTCTGAGTAGCACCCCACCAAAACCTCGCCATATGCGCATTGAGCCTACAAATAAGTTCATATGGAAAGCGAAAACAAGACATCACATAAATCGGAAGAGTTGAGGCTATTGTTTTTAGAAGTACTTCCTTGCCTACTGCGGATAAAGCTCGTTGTTTCCACCCTTGAAGCACCTCTAACAATTTCTCCTCAACGAACCGAAAAGTATCAACCTTGGATTGACCCATAAGCGATGGCAATCCAAGATATTTATCTTGCAATCCAAATGAACCAACCTCAAGCACAAAACTTAACTCTTCTTGATCCGGCTGAAGAAGATTAAGGCTGAAAAAGGCTGCAGATTTATGAAGATTCACTCGTTGTCCACTTAAAGATTCATGCTCATGAAGTAAGTGAATCAAAGCAGTGCAATCCCTCCTGGATGCCCTTAAGAACAAATAAGAATCATCTACAAACAAAAGATGAGAGATAGGAGGACAAGAATGGTGAATCCTGATTCCATGAATCTCATGTCGATGTAACGCTTGCTTAATCATTGCAGTAAGACCTTCCGTACAAAAGGCAAATAACAAAGGAGAGAGAGGATCTCCCAGACGAAGTCCACGAGTAGACTTGAAATAGCCAGAAGGTTGCCCATTCATCATCACCGAAAAGGACGCAATCGTAACACATTCACGGATCCACCCAATCCATTGAGGAGCAAATCCCAATCTACTGAGTAAAGCAAACAAATAAGGCCACAAGATTCTGTCATAGGCTTTCTCCATGTCCAATTTTAGAGACATTAATTTTTCCCTCCCCTGACGTTTGTGCTTAACAAAATGCGTGACTTCATGAGCAATCAGAACATTGTCAACAATTTGAAGATCCCTAACGAAGCCATTCTGCTCTTCAGAGACCAAAGAAGGAAGCAAAGATCCAAGTCTATTGGCAAAAATCTTAGTGATAACCTTGTAAAGAAATTGGCAGAGACTGATTGGTCACAGTTGCGAAACACGTTCCACAACCTCAACTTTTGCAATCAAAGTTAACCTCGTGTGGTTCAAGTTACGAAGTAACTTACCACGAACAAAAAAGGAAGAGATAGCTTTGATCACACTCTTGCCCACTAACTTCTATTACCTATCTTACCGTGTAAGCCCAACAGGTTCAGAAACAAGTGTTACTTACTTCTCATGAGTGTTGGGCCATTTGTAGGTTTTTTGTTTCAATTTAGGCTTTTGGGTTAAGTGAGTACCGGACATACCCAGTCTAGTGGTGGGGTTTGCCGACAACGGGGATACTTGCCGGCAACGGGAAGAAGCGAGAACTAAAAGGATCATCGGCCGATTTCAATTCCAGGGCTGTGAAATACAGGGGGGAGACGACAAATACGACAAAAGATGGGCTTCCCAGTGTATTTTAAGCAATGACTGCTTTACCGTACCGTGTCGGCCGGTTGAACCGGAAAAACCGGGAACCGAGCCATGGACGGTATGACGGAGAAGACTATCGGAGGACTTGCGTACCGGCCAGTATTATCAGTGGAACTAGAGTTCCGCGAGATACCATCCGGTTTCAATCGTGCCGGCGGTTCTTGGGAGACTGGCCAAATAATTTTTTTTAGAGACTGGCAAATCCTAGGATAGCAGTAAAGGCTATCCAGTCTTCCCTTTTGCCGTCTTCCCCTGCCCCTAGCAACTGGCGCATCCTCAAATCGCGATCCAGCGGACGTTCGTCCGTCGCTCGTCTCTCTAGACTCTCCAATCCAACTCGGTCCTTTTGCTTGTCGCCACTCGCTAGGGCCGTTGTCCTTTGCCTCAAGCTTCCAAGTCACCCAATCAACGCCGTGCTCCACTCTCCAGCTCGCCGACTCCATCTGCGGTGAACCTTTACTTTGGTTCTGGTGAGAAAGAGACGACAAAGGAGAAGAAAGAAAGGAAAAATAAAGAAAACGAATGATTAATAAACAGGGGGAGTTGGGAGGCGTGGGGGACATGAAAAAAGTCCTTATTCTTTTTGTTTTTTTAGCTTTTATTCCGATAATTTACTCTTTTACAGTTTCTTAGGCGATATAATCCGGTTTTATTCCGGTATTTTTCCGGTATGGTACCCTAATTTTACCGGTTTATTCCAAAAACGGTTTTTACCGGTAGGAAACGGTTGAACCATGGTTGTACCACGATTTACCATGCCAAAGACAATTCCGGTTTGATGTTCGGTACGGTTTCGTAATCCATGATTTTAAGTCTAGAACGTGCGACTCCGATTTAGGCGAATTGCAAAATTAAAGGGATCTACCGAAAGGATCCTTCCACAAATTCCTCTTATGCCAGGAAAATTTGAATGGGTTGACGGTTCTACTTTTCAGCTATAATAAAAAGTGTAGATAGATGTTGATGTAGAAGATATAGATAACAACTATAAATTAAAGAATAATGTCTATTTTTTATTCAAACCTTTTTCAGATTCTTGTATATTATTCAAACCTATCGAAATACTAAGAAATAGCCAAATGTTAACTTTCAGTCAGCAAATTTGTTAGTAATATTGACTAGACAACATGATACTAATTTGGAAGAGACACATGAAGGTCAGCATTCCAGAATTTTAGTATTTTAACTAAGAAAAGAGTTACAAAATTATTAACGATAACATAAAAATGACTAATATTTTGATGCATTATGAAAGAATTGGCTAATTAATAGACTTGTAATAGGTTTAGATAATATAAAAGAATCTGAAAAAGGTTTGGATAAAAAATAAACACCACCCAATTAAAAACCCTACTCCATACTCCCCCACTCGGCAGTGCCGCTCACTAACTCTCTATCTCCCTACTACCTTTCAACTTCCTCCCTCTTCCTGCTAAAGAAAGGCTTATTAATTCCCTGTCAACCAAGGATTGAAATACTGTACCGTACCGGCAGTTAGACCAGAAAATATCGCATCGTACCGGAGGTATTAAGCGGTTAAACCACGGTTTTAGCATAAAATACCCTACCGCTGACTTTTCATATACAACTTTCGATACGGTATTTCAATCTTTGTTGCCAACCTCTCCAACTCATTTCACAATGCATGCACCCAAGACTCCCCTTCTCCCTCTACACCCGCACACTATTCTTTCATT